AGATCGCAGTGCTTAACACTGATTGACAAGATTTAAAGTGCTTCAGCTCTCACACAAGATGAATAAAAGAACCTTGCACTTTCATGAACTATTTATATTGTGTATTCATGTGTATAAGTGTGTGTATATAGGTGTTTGTCAGTGAGTATGTTGTATTCAGACGGCAGTGGCTTTATCCGTTGTGCACTCAGCATCAGTCTGCCTTATCAGTGATCTAAAATGACGGTCACAGAAAATAGAGGATCTCATGCGATAGTTCAAATCGATGAAATGTGCCATTTAAGTGGCTTTCACCTTCCCCCTGGTGAGCCAATTGAAAATATTGTGGGGTGAATATGGCTCTTTTGTTCAGGCTTTTCTGTAGTCTCACAACTGCCTACAGCGACACATTTAATAAGCAAGCTGTGCAGCTAAATTGTTGGACAAAGAAGCTAGATTTAGAGTCATCTATTGAAGGCTTAGAACATTCTGAGTCTGCCAAGCGAGCAGAGATAGATTATAATATTTTGCTCATAGTCACAAACGGATTTCGTCAATAGACTGGGCAGTGGCAGGGTTAATACAGCAGATTCATCTTTTCAACTAAATGTTGGAGGAACGATATTACATAGATGTCTAAAGCCCTCTGGAGTGTAGCTGTTTTAAGGATAAATGGACTCCTACTGGCTTTGCTTTGTTAAATTCAACTCACCTGAAAAGTGACTTTCATGTGTGCCAAATTGGCATCTGGCATAAAGAACGTCTGTAATACATGATCTAATCACCCAGAAGTACACAATTTGAAATTTGCCATTTTTGCTCATGGCACCAATTTGTCTCAACTTTTTGAGACAATTGCCAAATATTATGTGACTTTTCATGCTGTCCTGACAACACTGAATAATGCTTAATATATATAATAGGACCCTATAAAATCCATTAAATTTTTTCCCAAATTCCATTTTTTTTAACTTTCATTTTTTCCCCTGTTCATTTCTCCAGACTCTGTTTTAATGGTTAAATTAAATTTTATTAATCAAAAAACATGTAAAATTAATCAAAACCACAAAAAGTCCACAACGTAACAGCAATTTATTAAAAAAATTTTTTAAAAATTCTTTTTTAATGCCCAATGAAATACATTAAATTTAAATGAAATAAATGTAAATAAAAAACTAAATAAATTTTGTTGTATTTATTTTTTACCAAATTCTGTGTTTTCCATAAATTTTTTGGATACATTTTTTATGGCTTCACTACATTTTAATAATCAAATAATAAATTCTGGTAAATATTTTTTCTGGTAAATATTCCTTAAAAATAATGTTTTAATAATAATATACCTCCATCACAGTTTCTTCACGTTAAACCAAACTTTTATTTTGATGGGTTCCTGTGAAGACCTTTAAGTTCCTGTTTGTATATGCTATGTTGAAAGTTTAAGTTTTTCTCACAAGAAACCGTCAAATGCTCATGAAGTGAATCTTGTTTTAACAATGCACCTAAAAATAATATTTTGCATGAATTATGCTCTCAGTACTTTATTCAGTACACTCAAATTTATGTGAAAGTGATCTGAAATGCTTTTAGAATCTTACCAAAATCTCAATGAGTCGCACGTCTCAGCCCAGTCTATCGAGCAAAAACACACTCAAACACACACACTCTCTCTTTCTTACACAGACACATTACTTACTAAACAGACTGGCTCTTAGTCTGTGCACATAAATCAAGTGTTTAAAACAGGCATTCAGCCAGATGCCCCATTTATGGCCCCCTTTCCCATCCCGATCCACAGGGAAACAACACCATCCTCCCCAAAACCCAATTGGGAGCCCTGAGAATCACACAAAAGGGCTCAAGACGCTTCCCACATCGGAACAGCTTTGTACAAAGTGGAGAAGTGCCTCATTCGGACACCCTTGCAATGTTCTATTCTCCAACCTGGCCTTATGCCACATTCACCCTCTTGAGCCTTACACCGATCCAATGGAAAACTGCAAAGAGTGATACAAAACACACAAAATTAGTTCTGACATAGTAGTAGGTTAGAAACTGTGCCATGTGGAAACACAGGGCTCATGGGTTATTTGCCCAATAAGAAAATAATAAGACACCAGTGACTGTTTGTGAAGCATTCATTTGTTCATGGTATCAGAATTTCTGCTGCCTCATGGAGTTCAGCTCTAAAAAAGCAGGGGAAAAACCTTTACAAAGATTAAAATGCACAAGTTTTTTTGCATGCTCTGCCTCTTGTGTCAGTCGGCATCTTGGCACACGTCACCAAATTGCTTCATTAGTGGAAGCAGCAAGGTTATTTTTAAATATGATTTATGGAAACAGATTTAGCAGCCAACCCCAGGTCTTACAGTAATATATTGAAAATCTACACACTAACAACTGCAAAACACATGTTTGTACAGAAGGGCTGGTCATTGAGTTTGATTCAATGCCTGTGAGCGCTGATCAGAACAACAGCGTCTCGTGCTGGATAAGAGATATTAGTGCAGATCTTCAAGACAGACCTGCAGCCCCAGTGGATCTGTTGGCTGGCTATTACAAATTAACAAAATTTTAAAGGGGTCATTGATTATGATTTCACCTTTTTAACTTTAGTTAGTGTTTAATGTTGCTGTTTGAGCATAAACAACATCTGAAACGTTACAATGCTCAAAGTTCAATACAAAGGGAGATATTGTCTTTTACAGAATTCCCTTTTTAAAGGGAAAAATTAAAGAAAAACTCATCACTTAATGTATTGAAAAACAAAACATTTATCTAGAATGTAATTATTTAATTAATGATTTAATTATTAAATTAAATACATAAATTATGAAATAACTATAAAATATAAAAAAATGAAATAATTATGAATGATTATAAAATCATAATAAGTATTTAATTATTCATTGTGGATACATTTCTGTGGGTTTGGGTCAGCTCTGGGCTATTATTTGTTCTGTAAAAATCTTTCACTGTGGCCTCCAAACAAAAGAATTAGACATTTACACCAGTAAAACATCATAACTCCTGAAATTGCATTCATTGGTCGGTAGAAGTGCACCACAGCTATTCATAACACGTGATTTGCATTTGTCTCTTTTTAAAAGTTTGTGAAGTTGCAACATGTCAAATAACCCCCTATGCCAGGCTTTTTTTAGACAGTTGGTTGGTGTGGTGCATCAACCCAAACCTAGGTAGTCAGGAGAGCATCTGGCTTACTGATTGGCTGAATTGTGTCATGTGTTTGTAAATCTGGCTGACACGAGATAGTCCCGTGAAATAGTCTGTCTGTACTTGAGGGTGTTGAAATACACATATGTGATTTACCACACTGTTTTATATTACACCACTGTTCTCCTTCTGTAAATATCTATCTATCTATCTATCTATCTATCTATCTATCTATCTATCTATCTATCTATCTATCTATCTATCTATCTATCTATCTATCTATCTATCTATCTGTCTGTCTGTCTGTCTCTCTGTCTATCAAAAAGTGTCTCTAAAATAAGATTTTACTAACAGGACTCATGTATTTTATTGGACATGACAGTCCAGCAAAAAGTAAGGCAGATGTCGATCAGATTTAAGACTCTAAATTTAAAATGAATATTTTCTTTATAGTGTCCACTAGATGTCTCTCTCCACCATTGTATATTCCAATTGGTAACATTTGCACAGAATAAGACATTGAAGTTTTGTGATACAGTCAAGCACTCATTTTATTTCAGGCTCGTGTGCCGTAGTCGGGTTTGGCAGTATGACTCAGGGCTTATTATGTAATTGTAAGGATAGCCTATAGTCTAATCGTATCTTCATGCCACAGAAGCAACTATGTTTTGGGATAAGGTCAGTCTAAATCCTTGCAGATGTTATTCTACCACAAATGCCACGAAAATGTCTATGTTTAAGTTAAAGTATATTAAATGCATTTTGTAGTCAAGTGGTGTTAATGTACTGTACGTGACAAGGATATCGACAGGCCAGCACACTAATACCTTCATGCATTACGCTAATAACTAAATTCAGTATATTTTAAATTATACGTTCCATACCAGTGTTACATATAGCTAAAGCAGTGTTAAATATATATACATATGCTACCTTTAGAGAGAGAGAAGGAGAGGTCTTTTGCATGCTCGGACCCTTTGCTAGTTTTCGTGCCCCACTGGGCTGATAACCTCTAATCACCAAAACACACAGTCGAAACAGCTTCAACATTTGCACATCAATAAGAAAGGTGCTAAGGTATTGATCACTGAGGTGGACATCTGTCCATGCACATCAATCAATCAGAGTGTGTCGTCACTAAATCGTTAATCAAATAATGATGGTGACAAAATCACGAGAGAAATAGGGAAGATCTGATTGAGAGAGAGAAGATGTCAGTTTTTAATTAGTATAACTTGCATTAAGGACTTTGACATGGATTGGATGGCTTGAAGTTGGAGTGCTTGTAAAACCAGATTATTCTATCATGCGCCACAGTCATGTATGGGATGGGGCCAAAGAGCCATTTGGACATTTGGACCATGGTAAACACACCAGACACTGTTGGATCGTAATGGTAGTGTTATATACATTTGTATAAATTGTTAGTGTCAGATAAATTGTTAGATTCATGGTTTATTACAACCATCAGGAAATAAAGATGAATTTTACCCATGACCTACATTCACAGGGCAAACAACCACGCTCGATAGATTAAAGATTACCCAGCTGCGTTACCTCCATCAGAATGAAGAAAACCTAACATTTACAAGTCTTAAAATAAAAGAGAATATAAACTACCACCATTACTACACCCAAGAGGATGTCAGTTTAACAAATCCACGATAATTGAGTAGATATTCACACGCGAGTGCGATATAATTTGCACCGACAGGGGTCCACGGTACTAAATCTATTCAAGTGATGATTGGTCGACACAAAAATGTGCTGCTCTGTTATTGGTTGGGGTGTGGATTATGCAAATAGCGTTACTAGGATTTATTAAAGGACTCGCAGTGTGTGGAGTGGGTGTGTCGGCAGAGGACAGGCTATTCTGGGGGAGAACCCTTGAAATCACGAATTTTTACTTTAAATTCAGCGCTCTGGAATTGCTTATAAATCCTGTTTCTCCTGCAATGTGCTTTGGTCAAGAGACCACTTTAAACTGAAGCACTTTCTCCATGAGTTCCACAAGGTAAGAACGTTATTTAAACCAGTAAGTTTTAAAAATGCAAAGTGTATTCTGGTGCTTCTAGTACAGTTAGCGACATGTCGACTATCGTAAATATTTGTTTAAAACAAAAACCCTTTTGTGATGTATTTTAGTGTATATGTTTAATGTATTTTTATGTAATTTTTTTATTATTCTTTTTTATAACAAAAAGTGTTCGAATGCCGAGGGTTGTTATGGTTACCTGCTTGGGCAACGCGAAGTTCGCGAATCTCTTTTTCCATATCTTTTGTGGTTACTGAAATGTTTGAAACCCTAAGTGAAGCACATACATTTATTTACATGTGAAATCAAAATGTATATACATACATTTGCATGTAAAATACTTTTAAGAGACCTAAAACCTACAACAAGGAAATTTTGACTTCCTGTGGGGAGCTCAAGGGACACTGTCACAATCATTTGTCATTTCCACTCATGTCTATTTTTCCATATCTTTTGTGGTTACTGAAATGTTTGAAACCCTAAGTGAAGCACATACATTTATTTACATGTGAAATTATATATACATATAACATAATATACATATACATATACATAATATATACATACATTTGCATGTAAAATACTTTTAAGAGCCCTAAAAGGAAATTTTGACTTCCTGTGGGGAGCTCAAGGGACACTGTCACAATCATTTGTCATTTCCACTCATGTCTAATTTGTGTTGTGTTGCTTCATAAAGGCAAATTGATTCCTCCTAGAATATCATTTTGTAGCAGAATATCTTTTAAAACTTTTTTGAAACTTTCTTTGACTTTTTGAAACATTTTAAAGACATTGTACTCACACATCTGGGTTGTCTTTTGTCTGTATGTGTTTAGAGTTCTTCATCTCCTCAATCCTCCAATGCCGGGTCCAGTTATGCCCGTGGATGTGGCTGTGCAGCTGTACATCACCCATTCTCCCCCACTGCGCAGCTTCCTGAGCTCATATGAAGACTACAGGACACGCAACCTGGTCAACACCTGCTACAAACCCCTCCGGCCCTGCTTGAGCTCTAGAGCCCACCTGGAGCCCCCTCGTCTGGACTGGCAGACCCCAAAATCCAAGGCCAAAAAGAAGGTTGTGTTTGCCGACTCAAAGGGTATGTCATTAACCGTGGTGCATGTCTTCTCAACTTTCGAAAACAGAGAACCTGTTACATCCGAACTGCAATTTGACCTGGAAAACTTAGAGGACGTCACAGGAACTCTCCATATAAATTCAGTCCAGAGCAGAATTCTAGATTTTCCACAACCAGCAGCAGACTACCTAGATTTTCGTAGTCGGCTGCTGAAGAACTTGGTTTGTTTGGAGAACTGTACCCTACAGGAGCGAGCCCTCACTGGCACTATCAAAGTGCGTAACCTGGCCTACGAGAAGTTGGTTCATGTGCGAATCACTTTCGACACCTGGAAGAGCTTCCAGGATGTGGAATGCACATTTATGAATAATGTCTATGGTTGTCAGGATACAGACACATTCTCGTTTGCCATTGAACTGCCTGGGTATGTGCCCCCTCAGAATAAGGCCGAATTTTGCATTAGCTACAGAACTGGAGAGCAGACCTACTGGGACAACAACGATGGCAGAAACTATGGACTGAATTCCACAAACCAGGGAAAGAAACCGAATGAATCCAGAAAGTTAGGCAGGAAAACACAAGACAATGAGGTTTATAAATGTAAAAGTCCGCTCCAATCCAATGGCATTTTCCCAAACTGGCAGAGTTGGGGGCACATTGCAACCAGTGGCCCCTATTGGTGACTTGAGCTCACATAATTAACTATCCAAATGTGTTGAAAGCTTTTAGCACCAATATATCTCTCGGTATGACAACAGAAGAATATTAACATTCTCTTAAGAGCTCTTAATATGATTTACCTGCTGATTACTTTACAAGCAGACCTAGATCAGCTGTCTGTTAGCAGATTAAAGAGGGGACAGAGACTGGTTGAAGTGGTCACATAGAGTGAACCTTGTTTCTTTTAGATGGAACATGTTGCTTCCGTGTAATACAGCATGTTTTATTCTTTTGAGTAAAATGTGCGATGACCCCTTTCATGAAGCGCTAGACCGCTAGGAGGTCTCGAGTAAACACTATATAACATCTGTGTCGGTTCATTGTATAAAATGTGCCTTTGTCATAAGTGTGCTAAGCGAATTTTTTGTTATGCTGCTGCCATTGTGTGCCACATCTGCAGACTGTGCACTATAAAAAATGATACCAAGTGAAAATCAAGTCTGATAATTTGAAGAGGATATATCTGTCTCACTAGCCAATTTTCAGCAGATTTCCAGTTGAAGATTCTATTATGGAAGAGATGAACAGTTGGTATGCAACCAGTGAGATTGTCCTTCATATTGAAGGGGTAACCTTTACTGGCTACAAACTTTCAGAAGGAAAAAACAAAGAAATATTAATATTTATCATATTTAATATGTACTCCATGAATAAACCAGCCTTGAAATAAATTTGGTTTTATTTGATCAAGTTTTAATCTGCAAGATGCACGTATGTTTAGTTGTCTCTTTTTTTATTCATTTTTGTGTTGGATTTGTTAGAAATGTAATGCAACTGAACGCAATAAGCTAAACAAATGGCCTGATAATGGTCTCTGTGCATTAGGATCTGCTCAGCAAATGTCATTGTAAAGCAAGTAGTGTCTTTTGTTGGGTCATTTTTATATTTTAAGTGCAATTCAGTGAAAATGAGTGGAATTGGTTGTGATGTCATGTTCGAATCAGATGTGAAAAAATGGCTGCATTTTATGAAAGAAATAATTGATGTCTTGGTAAATGAGTGTGTATTTGGTGTGATTTTTCTAAAATAAAAATTTCACATTTTCAGATTCTGTTTCTCAATAACTGTAGTCAGAATGAGTGAGAATATGTCTGATCTGTCCAGTGTAGACTTCATACTTACTTGCCAAAGTGATAACAATATGGTTTTGGTGGCAATTAAGCAGGTCTCATAAAAAGCATTTAGGGACAAAACAAGTGACATTGAGAACTGAGTTCCTTTACTATTGTAGAGTTTATAAGCAAACCGAGTGCTATGTTGACTAAAGTATTCAAGTTAAACCCTCAAGCACCTTAAAAAATGAGAATAATAATGCAGATTTCTGAGGAGAAGAGAATGGTCAAGTTGATGCGGTAGCTTGACACCTGGGCTTTATGAATATATCCATATAAATCAAGGATCTTATGAATTGCTGCATAAATGACTTTTATCTGCATAAAGCTCTCTTTAAAATCATAGTAAGTAGTTTCATTTGAAGCAGCCAGAGGTTCAATGTTAGCTCATGGTCTTCTCCACTCAATGAGGAATGCAGAGAATGTAGAGAGCTCCATTTTCCACTTTCCTGAAAATTTTAAAAGCACTCACACACATATATGAAACAACTCTGTTAGGCAGAGAAAAGGGAAGCAGATTTAGACACCAGACCTCTGATAACCCTGGATATGAACACACTCTGCCTGATCATGTACTGATCATGTTCTGAACACACAGTTCAAAAATACCTACCCTCATGCCAAGCCTATTTTGGCTGATCACCATTTAGTAAACCAGTGAACAGAGGAACATCATGTAAAAGTTATTTCAGGTTACTCCAATATCAGTTGCAGTGTACACAAATAGCCAGTATAGCCAAATAGCCAGTTATGAATATAAAAAAAAAACTAAAAGTAGCACTGTATGATATAAGAAGGATACAAGAAACATGGCATGCCTCTGTAGGGAAATTGAATCAAACAATGTCAAATTTACAGTCATTCCCAAAGTTGCTGTATTAGGAACAACCTTTTTTTTTTATTTGATGCAAAGGAAATATAATATCAAGTGTAGTGCTATAAATGATGTTTTTTTAAAAATGTTAAAATATAAAAAAAGTTACTGGATTTACGAAGCTGATGACCGTTGAAACGCACCATCACATACTATAAAAGGGTCCATTATAATTTTGCTACAGTAATTATTTTGGAGTCCATGAACTATGCTGCTTATTTTAAAGGAAAGTCTTGAAGTGAGTCTCTTTATATCTTTAAAGAGCATCATGAAAGATGGTAAAAAGTCAAACAGGCATTTAAATGTGTGGTATAAGCTATTTACATCCCATCCTTATTCTTGTGTGCCCATTCAAAGTTATCATTTGTATGTGTTTGTCTCTGTCATTTGGACACCATGACCTTAGAAATAGGCTTTACTGGCTCAGACTGATGATTTTTCAACTATGTGAAATACTGTTGGGAAAATGATTCAGCACTTTCCTACAACAGGCTTGCAGTTGCTTACAAAGTTAATGGTTTCTTGTAGCAGAAATGTTTGTCATAGCAAAAAAATTTCATGATGTATGAATCTGTATATGTGTAAAAAAAAAAGTAGTATGTGGATCAGTTTTGTAAATACTAATTTAGCGTTTCATATTCTTAAATGTAATTGTCAGCTAAACAGGCATCATGCAGAGTCTCACCACTACCTCACCCTGTCTCTGCGATATTTTTTAGTCTCCAAACCTTCAGGCGAAGCAGGACATTCGCATCCATTTTTCAAGATTCTAAAACTGAAATTATGCAAACATTAGAGGGCTGAGAGAGAGAGAGTTGGTCTGGGGCAGGAGCCATAAACAGGTCTCAGAGATGGCAGTAGAACAGTGCAGCATTCACAATCAGTCAAGAACAAGGGCTCTCTTACTGAGTGAGAAGGGAACTGGAGCGGAGTATGGAGTGGATTTGTCCATACAGCTGTGATTTCCTGCTCTGCAAAGCACTCTGTAACCACAAAGGGCACAGAAAATGTGTTTTTCCCCAGGTGTTGGCTTTACCAACTCTAAGATTATATTTGCTTTTTTATTTCCTGTACACAAATTGCAAACATGTGGGTGAGGATGCATGCACTCCGTTTTGCTTGATTCAGTTTCTGTCTGTGTAAACATACACATCCTTGTAAGTTGTTTTTTATTGTTTCCTTGCTATCCTGCTATTCTGACATAGCAGTTTACATAATGCGATATCTGATACAGTACTTTAGTAGAGCGTTTGTAGAGCTATTTTTAGAGAGGCATATACTGCAGCTGCTGACACCACTGGTCACCAGTGCCAGCAGTCCATGGAAACCTATGACACAGATTCAAGACTACTCTCCTTCAAAAACAGATTCTGTCGGACTGTAACAAAGCTTTCATTAATTCTAGCTCAGTGATGGACACCACCCTGTTTACAGTTTGCTTTTGCCAGTACTTGGTCAATGAGCCATTGTTTAAGTATGAAGTCATCCAGCAGCAGAAATGGCTTGAATACTGTGAGTTTGGTCTCTGGCAATTTACATCTCATTTTATAAGGTGCTGGTTCTGGAAAATATTATTTATTTTGTTCCATTTAGCTGAAAGAAGTTGTTTTTTGCTGAAACTCCCAATCAGAGCTTGTATACATCATGTACATAACTCAGAACTTTGCTTTTAAGTAAAAAATATGGATGAGTCAAAATTCTAGTGGTGCACAGGCAGATTTTAAAAATTGTAGTAGGTTACACAAATATGGATACAACAATAATGACACAGAGGAATGATTTCATTGGAAATCACTTTCAAAAAAAAAAATTTCTAGCTGATGAGAGCTAAAAAACATTGATAGCCAATCAGAATCCATCTAACTCTAAAAAGCTTGGCCACCAATTGGCGTGGGCACTAATAAGCCTATTAGTTATAGTTATTAGTTAGCTCTGTTATTAATTACTGTTCTTGGTGAGAACAGGCCTTAAGACATCACAGGAATTACTCTAACCCTGTTTTTGTCAGGTAAAGTTTTGAACGTCTGTTAGATTTATACTTCTAAAGTGGACTTTTTTTGGGGAACTTTCTGGAATTCGTTAAATATATTTTTAATAATAATTGACTATAAAAAGCATGTTTCCATAAACCAATGATGGGCATAAAATGCAAAAATAGTAAAAATAGTTCACCCAAAAATGAAAATCCTCTGTCTTATAAAATGTTATCTAGAGTAAAACCTCCCCTTCCCTTAAAGGGATAGTTCACCCAAAAATGAAAATTTGATGTTTATCTGTTTACCCCCAGGGCATCCAAGATGTAGGTGACTTTGTTTTTTCAGTAGAACACAAACGAAGATTTTAACTCAAACCGTTGCAGTCTGTCAGTCATATAATACAGAATAGAGTGGCAATGATCCATTTGAGAGATAGGTGGCAGTAATGCACTTATAAGTCTGCGATCTGCCGTAAAGCAAGAAGAAGTCGCGTCAAGCTCCAGCTGTTGAGGACACGCTCAGGACAGTTCGGACATTGCGGTGAATAAGAGGTAAAAAACGATATAAATACTGTTCAGTTTCTTGCACAGACCGATCGTTT